AGGACTATCTGTCGTTTTCTTCTTTGCCACAGTGGACGAAAAAAGTCAGTTATTCTACGACGTTTCGTAATTCTTTATCACTAAAATTAACAAACACTCGTTTTGACGCACTCCGTTCTGTTGTGTGTGTGTGTGTGTCTGTTGTTGAAAACAACCTTCCTAATTTTGTGACTGGCTATGATGACTGAGATGGAGCATGTTGACTTATTAATAATATTTTGTTTGGGATGGAAAAAAGGAGTCAATTTCCCATCAGCAAATAGGTTAGTGTGCGCTGTGGACAGTATGGCTATGCAATTTACTAACCACACAGTCCAGAATCATAAGGTGATTAAGTCCCAAAACTTTAGCTGCATTTGGTGGATTAAGTCGCAAAACTTTGGCTTCGTTTAGTGGCGCCATTTACTCTAGGCAGACGGCGACCAGTTTCGTTACCGGTTGGTACATTCTTACAAACATTCAGGCAAAGGCCAGTCAAAGTTGAGACGGGAGCCGGGTTATTATCGATGTTTGCCATCCTTATATGTAAGCCATCGTAAATTCATGGTTTGCCGGAGTTGCGTTCAATTTAAATCTCCGAACTTCTGAAGCTGAGATATTCTATGAATGAAGGCTTGTATCGCAGGCTAGAATTTAAAAACGGGTCACCAAATAATGAATTAGATGCTAAATTTTGATTTAATGCTGGGTAAGTTAAAAACCGACATTCCGTCCGAGTGGGACTCATTCAAAAATTTGAGGGGGTTCGCTAGAAAACAGGGGAGTTCGCTAGAAAAGGGGGGTTCGTCCGAACCATAAAAAACCCCCCTGGCTACGGGCCTGAAGAAAGAGTTTCTAAAGCTAAAAAAAAGCTGAATCTTAAATACTTACGCCTCCTAAAGCTGTAATATCTTTCTGTAGTTTGGCTGAATTCTTATATTTAATTAGGTCAAAGTAGAACACCTTTCCATGCAAAGGTTTGTGCTCAAACTCCAGCTTCCTCCTTCCTGATTGGCCTTTTCCTGCAAAGTGGACAGATAATGAATGCATTCAATCATTCAAGAGAATAGAGTGGCAGATCCAGGAATTTGAAATAGAGAGGGCCCAGGGAGGGACTTTCACAGGTGGAGGTATACCACGATGGTTGATACTGAGGTAAGAAATTTTATGATTATGGCATACACCCACACACCCTTTCCACCTGCACTTCAATCCACAACTGTATTTTTATATTTTTTCTTAGATTATGACAAATTTAACATGAGTTTGGTATGGAGAAACCCTTCCTTATCATAATTAAACATAACCAGTTTACACATACCTTCTGCTCTAGGAGTATCTCCATCCTGGTTACTTTTCTGCTGACCTTTTCTTGGTCTATTTGTTGACATTCTTATTTTATACAAATCTGATTGGCTGAACAATTAAATGTAACCTTCAATTGGTTTCTGCAGATATCATGTGTTGATTCCTAATGTTCAAAATCAATTATTCAAAGAACATAATTGTCCTTGTTTAAAGTCCACTATTACAGGCATCTATAACGAAAGAGTTGTCATTAAAATTAAATTAAAACAATTTTACAAAAATAACAAGAGTATACAAAATCTATAGCTCCTCTGCCCAGACACTTTCAGCTGAACTATTTTGCTAAACAAAAGGGTCGTCCTCAAATGACAACCTTTCAAAATAATGTTTGCTAGGTGTTAACAATGTCCAGCGCAATACACAATTCCAATAGATAGAACAAATAAAATTTCCTCATGCATCACACTGCCCTAATTAAAAATTACAATAGTTTAGTTTGGACTAAAAAAGAGAAATAAGATAGCAAAAGTGTTGCTCTCCTTCAGGGACAGCTTTGGTTTGATATAGTGTTATTAATACATGAAGAAGACAAGCTTGACTGCATGATTGTGAAAAAATTTGAATAAATATTTGTTTAATAAGTCGGCAGGGATGTCGTTATGCAGGGCGGAGGTGGACTATTTTTAAGGCCTTCCGCCCAGCCTCATACAAACCCTAACGCCCACCCTTAAAATCATGAAAAAACACAAGTTTTTGCTCAATAATAATGATTTTAAAACACGTCAATGGATTTTCGCTTCAGTCAGAATGTTGGTTGCCACGGTGCTTACAGTACTTCACTGAATGTAGAAAACATGTGATTCATCACTTGGCATGAGAGCGAGGTTGTTGAGTTGTCTGTCTGCAAAGTGGTACAGTACAGGCAGTCTAGCGTGTAACCGAAAATGTCCCGACTTGTCAAAGTAACGACGGTGGTCTCTACTATATCTACTAAGTACTGGACTTTAATAATAAAGTTTGCAACCCAGGCTTACCTCTAGCATGTGTAATTATTGCAGATATTGCATTGTAGAGTGAACCATTTTAAACGCGGTGTATGGTTTTACGTATTCCATGGTAAAGTTCATGACTGCCAAGTACGTAAAAACGGGGATTCCACATACTGGGAATGGGCGCTAAAATTGGCACCCATGTTTTACGCGCTGTATACACAAGCACGCACTGCCATGGCCAAAGTTAAACCATGGAAAACCCGTGAGGTACTGTACCCTCTCCTAGGCGAAATTGGACACGATTTTTCAAGGTGGGGGGTGGGGAGTGAGCTGGAAATTAGCTCTCATACTTCGACATAGCTAGCCTAGTTTAGAAAAAAAATTGATGTCAAAGGTTAAGACCGTTTTCCACGAATGTCGTTTTAGGACAGCACGTTCTTACGACATTCAGTTAAAAACAGACATGTTATTGGTTTGATTTCAAGATCTTTAATCATTATGCGGTGTGTAATACATCGCAGTAAGTGAATTGATTGATATGATACCACTAAGACTCTCTAGCCTGAATAGTGCTAACCGTACGTAGTGCTGGTAGGCCTACAGTACCTCTTCGTTAATTAACAGTTAGTGTTAGCTGGGATTAATATTCTCCAACTTTAGATGCAGTTGCGTCGAGACATTAACTATTTCTTTCCCTATTGAATGTCCCAGAGCTGCAAAATGTTGCCATGTAAAAGCAGCGGGTAGTTGTACGAGCAATGTTTGTTCCCCAAGATAGCCAACTGTAACCATGGATCTTATTTGCTTATAGTGAAGCAAAAGCTTGTGAACAAGTCGATGTTAATTTGCATTCAGGCTGTAATACACGACTGAAAATGGAGAAGTACCTAGCCTACCAAGGAGATCGTTACCGCCGCCCAGTCGTAGATATTTTGAACCATTGAAAATTAACAAGACACTGTAAATAAATGAATGATTTGAGCACATAATCTCGGCATTAGATTTATTTATTTATTAATACTGTATTACATTTTCATGAGAGAGAACTAAACAGAAGAAAAAGTAGACATTAATGATAATTACATGATGATGATCATTGTTACAAGGGCTGTATTCCCTGTCTTTAAAAAGAAAAAAAAAACTTAAAACAATATAATTTTTTTTCTTGATTAAAACTATATTAGTATTACTTGCATGAATGATTCTCTTATCCTGGAATAAACAACAGTAGTCCCACATAGGCTAGTATTCGTGTCTTCTTAAAAAAAGAAGATAGGTACGCACATATTTTTATAAGCAATCAAAACTAAGTAGGCTAATTGTTAAGTTGCATTACCCAAGTCGATCATTTTGGCTCTCTAAACCGCAAGAATCCCAGTGTTTCAGGAGCCTCGCCCTGCACCCCCTCTGAAACCCATCCCCCCTCCAGTCCTTCGGCCCTCGCTTGGTTGGCGTTTCGCACCAAAGTACGCACAAATTCAACCCACCCTAAAAATTCTAACACCCACCCTCAGTTTTCAATAACCACATCCCTGAGTCGGGAATGGCTAATAACACAGATCTTTAAATATTTAAAAAATGGGGCGAAAGGGGTGTAACACTCTCACTGATCTCAGCCTTTTCCTAAAGTTTACCGGTCTTTAAATATTAAAATCTGTATGGAGCTATAGGGCCTAGTAATTACTTTAGCTTTGGTCCTGATTATGTCCTCAAACACCCCTAATGAAAATTCATCAAAGAAAGGAGGAACAGATTTGGTTGTCCAATAATGGAAGACCAAGGCCCACATTACTAGGCCTACAGCCTAGCTAAGCAATAAATAGGCCTAGAAGTACAGCAGTCGTAGTAGGCCTGGGTGGGCTTCCTCCTCTTAAGTGTCTCTCTCACTCTCACAAAAAACAGTCTGTACTGTGTAATTATTACTGCCTTGGCCGAGTAGGCCGTAAAAGTAGCGCTACCAGCAAGGCCAGACTTAGGCCTAGATACCATAATACTAGCCTAGTCTAGGCAGACATAAAAACCCCTTGCCTAGCTCCCTCCTAGGCCCTAGCCTTGCGTAAGCCAAAAGGGCCCTGCTGGCTAGCAAAATAAAAACATTCGCAAAACAGTTCCCTAATCACATACAATTTTTATATAGTTAATACGTAAGACGTTAAATATAAATATAGCAATACAGTTAACAGAAAGTGGACAATTACCATACAAACCTTTTTAAACTAGCAACAACAAATAACACGATTTAAAATATAACAATCAGCTCAAAAACAACAACGCCGTACACAGCACAGCAGCTGCAGTGTTACCGCCATTAGACCACAATTCTTTGCAAACGAGGTCACATGACCGAATATTTGCACCAACCATTAGGCTGTGCTGCTGAGCTACCTAAAAACATGAGCCCTAAAAATCATAATATTCTTTTACATAAACCTAATAGTAAATTGGTGCGCCGTATTATCAATTTATATATTTTACCAAAAGAAAATGCCTGTAAAAGAAAATTATGATATTTTGATCTGTGTTAATAATGTAGGAAGAAATTAATCCGTACATGATGCCTTTAATGAACAATTGTTGACCTTTTATTTTATATTATATTATTATTCTTTATTTGGAAGCTACACTTTTACAACAGTGGCACACGTACAAAACGGTGCGTCCAAGAAAAATATAAGAAAACAAACAAAATCAAAACATGACAAATGAAAAGTAAAAGTAAATGAGCTTAACAAAAAGTAAAAATCAAAATCTTAATTACCCCTCCCTTCCCTTTTCCAATCCCGAAATCGAAGTTTTAATTACCCCTCCCTTCCCTTTCCAATCCCGAAAACAGACACAAAAAAAAAAAAATAAAAAAAAAAAACACATTACCCAATAATCATTCGTTCCCTTAAAAAAAATAAAATAAATAAAAATTCCGAATAATAATAATAATAATAATAATTATAAATAGTATTACATACCCACATACCCATATACATACATAAACATACATACACACAAACCGTAAATATATATAAACTGCGAGTCAGCGAGGCATGCGATTCATGCAAGTACGGTGGCCCATAGTGTCACGGAAAATTTAAAATGAAACATCACAGCAAATTTAAAAACATCACGGCGAATTTCAAACGAAACATTACGGCAAATTTAAAATAAAACATCACGACAAATATGAAATGAAACATCACGGCAAATTTCAAATGAAACATCATGGTAAAAGACATCACGGCAAATTTAAGAAGCTCTCACACGGCGGAAGTTACGTTCGGAAGAGCACTTTGCCGCGCAGTGGCGGATCTAGGATTTAGCAATGGGGGTGGATAATGGGAGGTGAGTAGGACCTAGCGGGGGCGGGGTGGCTTTGGGAAGGGCGTCCCCTCCCATTTGAGGTTTGTTTGGAATTAGTAAATTGTTAGACGATCTTAGATGGTATCTGAAAAGAAGCAAGCTTAAAATAGAAAGTGTATGTTTTACCAGAGTACCGTACACTAGAAGCACACACAAAGTACGAGTGACCATTATTTTTCTTTTCACGGTAAACCTCTAGATCCGCCACTGTTGCCGTCATTGCCCAGGCTTCTGTGCCTTCGGTTAATTTGAATTGGCGAGCCTATGAATATTTGTTATTATCAGCATTATTCCATCACTAGGCCTATTATTTATAACCATTATCATTACATTCTTACATACATATACATTGTACTCGCATACATGCCAGGATGACAAGTAGTTTACATTAATCAAATATTGATCAGAAATCATAGGCATATGTCAACATACCTCATACATCCACACTCACGTTAATATTCACATACACCTACCTATATGTGCAATACCCAAACTTACACAATAAGCATATTGGGGCTTATAAATGAAGAAGTTATCTATATACACATAACTCCATAATGCCATTTTAATTTATTTTTTTGTTGTTAACATTTTAAATTTTATTTAATAACTTTCTGTTATAATACTCTATTGAAAATAAGGTGGCCGTGGAATTAAGCTTCCATTTACCAATGTGCTTTAACGTTCGAGCCTTGTATATACCGTAAGAATGCTCCAAGACTACAGATATCATCTAAAAATCTGTTGCCTGTACCTAGTACAATGTTATGAAAGGACAGTGGTGTTTCTAATTTGAAACTATAATTAATAAAATTCCACATTAATCTTGCTTCTTTACATTCAAAAAATAATGTAATTCATCATTCAGTACATTGCATTCAATACACCGCTTATCCTTAACAATCTTATATTTAAATAATAATTTTCTTGTAGGTACAATCATATGAAGTAACTTAAAGTTCAATTGCCTAATTACAGTATCCAATCTCTGTTTTCAGTCTTCAACAAAATTTCCCATTTCCGTTGGGTTTGAACAGGAGGCTTCGCAGTACTCTTTAGTAACAAACAATAAATTTGATTTGTTGTTATTTTTAGAATGGGGTTTCTAATAATAATGCTTGGGCATATCCTTATTACTTACTACATTTTTTGTTAATACACTCTTCCACTCTTTAGTGAATATTCTGACATCCAGTTATGTTTGGCATTCAGTTTATTTCTAAGCTCAAGAGATGGTAAAAAATTCTTTACTGTATCAGTCAGTTGAATCCAAAGGGTAACCAATAGTTAGAGCTAATCATGTTTGTCACCTAAACCCCATCCCTCTTAAACTACACAATTACGACACCCCGGCATTCTTAAAATCATAATGATTACATCAATGAGATTAACAAAAACAGTAATAATAATGATGACGATGATGATAATGATACTGAAAATCATGGCGGTGGTAATACACATCTCAACATACGATGGCTGTATTAGGGAAACAGAGATTAAATTGATAGAAACGTTCTTGCAACCCACAAGAGGACGGCCCAATGTAATACTTGGATAATGTATTGATCAGTGAAAATTTCAATGAGGTGGCCGCAGTTTAGAAGGTGAGGTGAGTTAATTTTAACAAACTACCCAATAGGTTTTTATTATTTCTCTTTTATTGTATATGCATTTGTAAAATTGTCGTAATTGCATTTTTTTGTTTGTTATAGGAGCCTATTATCATCATTATCATTACCATTTAATTATGAAAAGACAAGAAATTAACAATACATAGGCCTATGAGCAGAAGGAAGAGGAGGGTGAAAGTAATATGTACATGGTAATATTAATATAAATAAGCCTGCGATATTGGCATAGTATATAAAGTAGGCCGAATATAGATAATAATAATAATAATAATAATAATAATATTAATAATAATAATGATAATAATAATGATAATGATGATGATGATGATGATGATGATGACGATGATCGAGATTATCCTTTTTATCGTCAATCCGTTCGAGTCTTAAATTAACCCATAATTTTCTAATATAATTATATTAATAATAATAATAATTTATTTAATAATAATTATCATTATTATTTATTTAAAAATAATTATATAATAATAATGATAGTAACAAATAGGCCTATGTATGTATCGCCACTTCAAAGGCACAGAAGCCTGGAAAATGACGACAAATGCTCTTTCCGAACGTACTTCCGCCGCAGTAAATCATTTCCGCCGTGAGAGAGATTCTTAAATTTGCTGTGATGTTTCATTTTAAATTTGCCTTGATGTTTCATTTTAAATTTGCAGTGATGTTTCATTTTATATTTGCCGTGATGTTTCATTTGAAATTTGCCGTGATGTTTCATTTGAAATTTGCCGTGACACTTATGGGCCACCGTATGCAAAATAATATCCATGAATTGATTACATACACTGGCATGCCATTGGTGGTCATTTGGTTAAAAAATTTACTGCAGTGAGTTTAAGTTACCGCTGCGAGTTTAGCGCCCTCGATGCATATTTTGACCAATCAGAGGCCAGAGAACTCGCTGCAGTAAATTTCTAATTGAACTGCAGTTCAGGAACCGAATACAGAGCGATATCGCACTCCATACACGAATTCATGCGAGGCAGGACGAAGTATAATTGCAGTATTGTACCAAAAGTGCGAGGCACCTTAAATAAAACACGCTAAAAATCTGTAAAAGTGACAATGACAATATTTTAATATAAATTATGATGTTCATATGACCTTCTCATCGAGTAATACTAAAATCAAACCATTTCCATCCATCCAAAAGTTAATTCAACCCGGCCCGGTTATATCCCTGGAAAAGTCTAATAGGAGTCGCAAAAGAGGCCTCGCCAACCTCGAAACCAACTTGAACAGGTGAGGGCGACCGACGGAGAGGAGGGTTGAATTTCTGAATAGTCGAGTCGTACCCACCTGCATGTTTAATCACGTTTGATAAATAAAATTGATGTTATTCAGTGGCGGATCCAGATATTTTCTGACGGGAGTGAGGGGGGGGGGGGCACAATATGACGTTCAAGCCGCCACGCCCACCTCAGCCCCACCATGGTTGGTGAAAATAATAAGTGGTAAATAATCGAGCTCTCATTTCGCCCACTGCTGTATCGCCACTGAACTAATGGGTGCACTCCCTTTTTTGCTCTTTCCTCTCTTTAACTCAAATTTGTCACCCTCTTTTTTATTTTTCGGCTTGACTGACGGTGGGGGGGGGGGGGGGGCACACGGGCCCTCATCCTCCCCCCCCCCCGCTGGATCCGCGCCTGTTATTGTTCTTATTATGATAGATTAATAAATAAATAAAAATAAAGAATAAAATAGTATGGGGTTATTCTATACTTTTGAGGATCACCAAACCACAACTTGTGAACTATTATAACTCCATAAATATGTGCCACACATAGCTCCATCATCCTCTCCCATCATTTCACCACACCCTGAACTAATGCATTGATGTGACAAGGCCTCTGCATAATATAAAATAGTTCAATAATTTAAGAGTAGGCCTATATTTATATTTGATTTTTTTTTAAATTATAAAACAAAGGGGAAAATCAGTATACAAATCTAAATATACAGTATCAAGTTCCTTTTCCCCCCTTAAAGTATGAGAAGTTTTGGTGAGTCGAATGTCCGGACAGTTAAGGCAGGGGAGCCACAACATACAGCCATAATATCGGCACTCCCGCCATGGTTCTGGAGGTGGAACAATCTTCTCGGATAAGGACTAACCGTAGGCCCAGTGTACACAATTGGCTCATGTCCCCTTTAAAGAACCCAGTACATTTTTATAGATGAGTAGGGAGTTACCCCGGTGTAGTGGTCCATAAAGCCGCTGTTGTCTTGTGATGGGATTGCCACTTTGAAGATAGAGTGATATGTGTACTATTTGCTATATCCTTGGCCCTTAGTGCCCAAAGCTGAATAAATAAATTCTATAAAAAAAAAAAAAGAAGTACAGTATCGTAATTTGATAAGATAAGGGCAGGCATAATTTGTTGTTTTTTGTGGTATATCATTGGCTCATAGTGCCTAAAGTTGAATAAATAAATTTTTTTTTAAAGTAGGCCTACAGTATCGCCATTGGATAAGATAAGGGCAGGCATAATTTGTTGTTTTTTTGTGGTATATCATTGGCTCATAGTGCCTAAAGCTGAATAAATAAATTTAAAAAAAAATTAGGCCTACAGTATCGCCATTGGATAAGATAAGGGCAGGCATAATTTGGTGTTTTTTGTGGATATGTGAAAAATTTCATTTCTTTTAAATCAATGAAAAATGCTGTACTAAACAAGGAAAGCTAGAAATCTACAACTTTTTTATAATTTGATTTGCTAATCATACCTTTGTTTTTATGTAATCTGGCATTACAGTCAGACAATTAAAATATATGTAATTATACAATGATTATAATATACCGCATTTATTCGAATATAAGCACCCCGGAGCGTTTATTGTTCAGATGGGTTTTGAGCAGCCAGCGTTTACTGGTAAATGGAGTCACTGTTTGCACGGCTTTTAAATCCCTAATTAATTAGCAATTGATTTAATTCCACTAGGTGAAACATTGAAAATTAATCCAATGCTGAAAATGATGTTGCTTTCATTTCATCCGTCCATAGTTACTTATATAGAGACAATTGGAAGAAAAATTAAACGTCTAGGCGTTTAGTCCAAATGAACTTTTTTTCTTTTTTGAGGTTCCCGGGCGTTTTTTCGGGCTGTCTCTTATACACATCTAGGGGGGTGTTGTTTAAAGTGGGGCATTTATTTGAATAACTGTGTAATTACAGTATTAATTGTTTTTTAAAACATGATGGATTACAAGATGTTAGCCCATAAATTAATTATTATCAGTGGTTTATGCTTTATGTTTTCTAATTGTCTTTGCTAGTTATGTTTACAGTATTTTGTGAAAAATAAATAGGGTCGTCCCTCCATGCATGGGGCGAATTGGCAGATTGTGAGTGAAAATGAATATTACATAGCCTATCATTCATTATAGGCCTATTTGAAGTCACGTCTGGATAGCTGAAAATTTTCTTTTCAACATCAAAACAATTATGTTAAAAGTAGTTAATTAATTATTGTAATTGTATTATAAAGTGTACAAGTGTTTATTAGCGTGGAATTTTGTGTGCCTTATGACTCGCACTGTTGCCACACGTCCCGCATAAATTACCGTCATGGCTCGCATGAAGTTTGCATGCGTCGCTGGATGACTCGCTGGCTCGCACTTTGGCAACACTCAAATTTAACTGCGTAGTACGTAATGGGACGGTTAAATGGGTTAAATTTGTAAAATTAGGAAGAAATATATACTCTAAAGGCCTATCTCATTTTGGAGACTTCAAGGCAGCGGCGCGGCGTAATATGAAAATAAAGAAAAACTTTATTTTCTGAAATTTCCATTTTTGTGGAGGCGGCTGCTCTAATTGACCAAAAATATAATTTTATTTTTATTTGAACCATCATTATTGGCGAGCAGCGAGTTCGCTAAACAAGGTACTGTATATAACTATCTTGCCTATCGAACCTTTTGTGCAAGGCGGTTAAACCACATTAGAATAACAGTTTATTCAAGGACTTTTGTGTCTACACTTAACAAGTAACAAGTTTCATGGTTCAACGGCGGAACGTTGTGGTGCAACAATCCAAATTTGCTGATGCTTAATCTCATATAGGCCGATAACCCGGAAGCTGGACTTTGGTACACTGATACAGTGTAAGTTGCCTACCATATTGTTCGTATGCACACAAAATGCCGAAACGTAGACCAAAATCAAAACCAAAACCAGTAGCAGTAGTAAAAGCTGATGATTTGTCGAAGTTAAGTGAAGTAGGCCTATCCGATGATGGACGGGCCAGTGATTGGCCTACTGACAACTCTACGCCAGTATTGACAAGAACTGAGATCATAGACAAGCAAATCGTCGAATCAAGTCGAATAGGAATACTAAGTATCACATTTGCCTTAGGATTAGCTTTAGGTGTTGGACTCGGCGTGCTCACCTGTAAATATTATAATTTTGTTGAGACAAAAGTGGTCAAAGACCACTGTGGACAATTTAAATCATCCCTGGATGCTGAAACCTTGGCAACCGAACAAATTGCAGGAGGAGAGAGCGTTGTCGACGATGTATCCTCTCCAGGTTACGTGAAGGCAGAAACATTTCAAAATATACCCCCACGTGATCCAGAGAATGACGTAGGTTTAAAATCTCAAAAAATAGAATTTACGAACTTTGAAGGAGTCAATTTGAAAGAAGTGTCTGAAAAATCTTATTCTAGGTCAGCAGACGAATTAGGCTTTCAAAAGAAACAGGACCAAATAATATACGAAGAATCAATCATTGTTGGGAAGGAAAGTTATCAAACAAACGACCATCTAAGAGAAAATAGGCCTACTAATTGGCCAATGCCTGATGATTATCAAGAAAATGAGTTAAAAGAAAGTAATAAGGAAGACAAGAAGGACAGTAAAGATAGGCCTAATAAAGGCCACCAGCATCAATTTGAAGCCGAATCTGCGACGAATCTGGAAGCATCAACACCACAAATACTCAAAACGATTACATTTAAAGATGGTAAACTACAAGATAAAAAAACCACAGACAAAAAATCTTCAAGTCAAAAATTAACAACTCCGGAATTCAAAATGAAAGAATCTAATAAAAACGACGAAATAAAGAATTTAAAAGCTGCCGCCGTGTCGCACACACCCACGTATCTGCAACGATTAAAAGTACGAAACGTCCGAGTGGGCGGGAATGTCGTCACACCACAAGAATTGACAAATGGAACAGCACCAATTAGGTTTGTTTTGTTTTTAGCATATTAAAAATGAAACTATGGGTTACCGAAAAATCACATGCACGATTGATTTTTTCAGAATTTGCGGGACACATTTTCCCATCTCATCATAAAAGATCGGGGTCACACATCATCTAGGCCTATGCCTACTAATGAATCAAACATTTCCCTCCAGCCTATTATCTTCACTCTTGCCTTACCGTGCCATAAGCGACCTCTTTGGTCCCAGAGAGGATGAGAAAGGTTGAACATACACCTTCTAAACCATATATCTTTGGTGCTAGTTTGTTTATTACTGTATTATATTACTGTTGAAATGAAATGGAGAGAGAAAAAACTCACATGGCCATTGTTATGTTTTGCATCTACATCGATTATTTCATAAAGCTATTTGTTTCCCAGTTATAATATTGTTTTATTACAAATAGAGTTGTTTGTGATCATGCTTTTTAACGTTTCAACGAAATGGTCTGAATATTCAAAAGTTTACCAAGCTGCATTGTGGGTTCGCGATTGTTGATCATTAACATTGTAAGATCAATCATTAATATGTTAATGCTATAAATTATTATTTCCAGAGCATATATATACGAAAATTTTCTAACACCTAAAGAATGCGAGGGGCTTATGGGAGTCCATAATCGTCACGTAATTGAATCTAATAAAGATCATCCGATTGTCTGCTTCGATGGCATCAGTACTTTGCGAAAACATTTAAAAGCCGCCAAAAGCAAATACAAGGTGTCACAGAGAGATTTCACAAATGGTAAATATCGAAGATCAGTACTATTTGTATTGATGATGATAGTAATTTTGGTAATGGTGATGTTATGTTATGATGATGATAATGAAACGATTTTGACTTTGTTAATGGTGGTCAGTCAATCCACCAACTAGGTTCCAACCAGAGCAAAGAAACATATTCCAACTACAGTATCCAATCATCAATCAAACAATTAATCAACCAATCGATCAAACAATTAATCAACCAATCAATCAATCAATCAATCACTAATCAGTTGTATTTTACGCAAATGAATAAATAGTGCTTGAACATGAACATGATGTTAGAATCATCAAGCATCTCTTCATGAAAGGTTGCAAAAAGCTTAAATTTTCGTTGAAAAAAAATTATAACATTACTATGTTCTATGGACTAGGCATGCCTACGTTTTTTTGTTTTTTTTTTTGTTTGCGTTTGATTCTGGTGCAGGCTTATCACAACGATATAATGAGGATGGAAGAGGATGAGGAATTGGTGTGTGGACATCTTTTAAATAGGCCTGCCACTGCTGACACGTGAATTTTTCCCCTCAAAATATAGGAACAACGTGTGTTAATGTTACATTCTCAAAGAAGTTGAAAAAGCTTTTGAAGTGGTCCTACAGCACTGCTTTTTATCCAGGTGAAAGCAAATTTTCAACGATATTTGAACAACGCGTCTTGGAAGCCACTGGATTGAAACCAGAAAATGGAGGGAAATTCCAAATTACGTCATACCAAGAAGGCATTGGTAAGTAGGCCTTTAATATGACGGATCACGTGGGTGGGGTAGGTGGGGGAGGTGTGTTTAATTAATGTGTATAAGTGTGAACATTTATCTTGATGTTTAAGATGCCATCCCTCCGATCAAACGGTTCTGGAGTGGCATGCGCTAATAGCATTCCTAATCATGAAAATAATATTTCCTTTTATCTGTCATGATCTGTATAGTGGCGAAACCAGGAATTTGAAATAGAGGGGGGGGGGGGCGCAAGAGAGGAACTTTGACAGGTGGAGGGTCTATACAACCTCAGTTATCGGCACCTCTAGATGGCAGAAAATGGCACTCTCATACTTAAAATTTGAAAATAATTTTCTTTTTCCTCCTTTTTTTTTACAACTTTGACAAATTTAGGGGGGGGAAAAAAACCGCCCCCCTAGGGCAGCTCCCCCCCCCCCCACACTGTTGATCAATTGATGATGTTTTCCTTGATAGGATACAAGACCCATACAGATTGTACCATTGGTTCAGCCGAGAAACGAGACAGAGTTGCTACCATTTTGGTTTATTTGCAGGATGTCGATGAAGGTGGCGAAACTAAATTCCCAGGTCAGTTACACGTCACACTCATTGGATTCCCAGGTCAGTCGCAGGGAGTGAGATGTCCGGGTTATTACAGTTGTTACGCTCGTCGGGTGGGGATTATCAAGTTATCTTTACTCCATGGTTACAAAACCATTTGGATGAAACTGAGGATGTCCATATTGCAATGATAAACCAAGAATTCACAAGTAGACCCCAACTGCTTCCTTAGCCATTACTCGCTGTGCTCATAAACATAACAAGCCTCATAGTTATTATGCATATTATCGTTTTACACTAAATACTCACTACATAAAAAACAATAACTGTTGAAAAATTATTTTTAAATCAAGATGATACTTCTATACATTTCAGAATTAAACATCAGCGTCCGCCCGGTGAGGGGGCGTGCTCTCGTATGGAATAACATGAACTCGGCCGGAGACTGCCAACCCCTGTCCCTCCACGAAGCTGCCCAGGTCAAAAAAGGACATAAGTACATTCTGCAAAGATGGTAATCACCTTTTATTGGAAGACATAATTTTGTACCGATGTCACGGGGTCACTCCCACCAAGGGAATCCTGTCCCCTACACTTCAACCTAGGTCTATAAAGAATTTGGACATCCGGGCAGGGAATTCGTCATCACGCCGAAATTTAAAGATAATTCGGCCCTTTGTAAGAATTTCGCCTTCCTCCAGGTTTATCAAATTCCTCCTGGAAAGCGTCAAATTATGAATGCTATACAGTACGTACAATGGAGCAAATTCACGGAATTAAGGGTGGGGTGTGGTCACTGTGACACCAGTAGACCTATAGAACATTAACTTTTACAAACTAGAATTTGGTTAAAACCGTAAACTGGCGGTTTTAAACCGCTAGACTTCTCACTCTATACTTGTGTTTACCATAATAATGATAATGACGATTGTCAATATATGGTGATAGGCCTAATAGTAAAAAAGTAATGATTAGTAAATTATAATGTGGCGCAGTGGGAACGCTATGGGCTTTGAATCAAAAGATCAAGACTTTGAATAATAATAATTCAATAATAATAATACTCAAACATTTATAAGGCGCCAATTCCAATTGAATGATCAAAGGCGCGAGCGTTATTACCCCTGGTCACTGGATAACGTACAATGGCAAACCAGCAGAAAGTGCAATTTTTTCTGCTCACTGGGGAGTATCCCTAGTCGTTCGCTACTTCTACGAAACTAGAACATTCAATGCCACAACATCCTACCAGGTACCCATTTATACTCTTGGGTAGAGAGAGACAAACGTAGATAAAGTACCTTGCCCAAGGACACAAGCGACTTGCACAGCGAGAGTTTCGAACCCCAGACCTGAAGGTTGGGAGTCCAAGCCACAATCGATGCACCAACCACTTCTACAAAGAGCTAACGTTTAAACATAAAAACAAATCTCATTTTTGTTTTACAGGTATTACTACGAAAGTTTTTATCATCTCGGCAAGCGGCCGTCGGAGCCGAATCTTCCTGACAGAAATGTTGGTCAGCCACGTGTTTCGTGTGACGAGTACGAGAATGGTAGCTGTCGATGGTACGATGAATGGAACTACGATCACATTATTGATTATCGGTCATCCAAATCCAGTTTACTTTAAAGCTATATAAAGAAATTGCAATAGTCTGTTACTCTGTAAGCTCGTTATGTTCTCAGCAATGACGACCAGCGGGAGAGGGAGAAACGCAGACAAGGGGAAACAGCGGTTGCCCGGCCACATCCCCGTCTGCCATGATGACTAGGCTAATTGGACCAAAAAATATTCTTTGGAATACATCTATAAAAAAAATGTTAAAAAAAGTCTCGGTAACATCGCCCAGTGACCCCCATTAACATTAGTGCGTCGCCCCTGGGCCCCGCTGGACTCCCACAGAATTGGTCAGGCTTTGTTCTCTGAATGTATCCGAGAGTCACCATACCACTTCTGAGGCATCTGGAGTCTATTTCCTGCTCTCGATATTAACATTAATGCTATACAGTAATTAAAGTGGTCATTCTCTAAATATCTGTCGTTTTTAGAACTGAATTGTGAGTTCGTTTGATTTTTTTAATTTATTTGACGTTTTAAACAATTTACGCTGTTGATGTACCGTTAAATAGAAACAGATGGTTTTGCTGTGATCTCGGCTAATATTAGAGCTCATTGAGTAATTGAGGCGATTGAGGCAATGTAAAAGCGCCCTCATTGTCCATTACATTAGTGATTCCGTTTACAAGCTTGCAAAATGATATCATGCAATTTACTTTTTGATATACTATACAGTTAAAAGCCCTTTAACGCACTGTGACCTATAATTAAAGGGGAGGGGGTAATGGGTATCGCGTTTCAGATTCTTCTTCCCTCAGAAATAACTTGTGCTGTGGGGGTTGCATGGGCGCTCTATAAAACGTGAACTTGCAACGCAAGTGCACTCGAAATCGATGCCGCCGGGTTGAGATCCGGTGCAAATCCGTTAAAATATCAATCGATGCACACTTAAATTACATGAAAGTGTGAAAATCACGGACTGATTCCTGTATTTTGTGACATCAGCAAGGTGTAAATATAAAAATAGTACCGCTGAGTTGTAATTAATTACGAATAATGCAGTGTTAACTCATCCTTTAGTTCATGCTTTTATTTGATTAAACAATAATTGCGAAGTCTTTTATATTGAACTTACTCATGATAAAAACATAAAAAGACATATAAAATTTACAAAATACAATGAGAAAAATAACAATGTCAAATCACAAAACGGTATTTAAATAGGCGTATATTAGCATAAGGGAGAAGAAATGAAGAGTAAGCTTTCTCTCTAAATACCGTACCGGTATATGAAATGAATAATTATATTTTGGATAAATCGCAGACATGAAATAAATGATAGGCCTATATACTGTTATCCGGGCCTACACATATTTGCCTTATAGCTATACAATTTTATTTTAGGTCTATATAAAGAGGTTTCCAGGGTATTCACATTGATGGACAATCAACATTGCCATAATTATTTTTGGCCGTCAAAACAACACATTTTTTCACACATCGATGATCCCATGGGCCAACATCGATTGAAAGATCATGGGTCTTAGGGAAGCCAGAATACAGGCTATACGACCATCTTTATTATTCTGTGTCTTTGTCAAGCTGTTTGTAGTCACGATACGATGGCATCATCTGGCCATAGGCCTAATGGTACCAATATAATAAAACCGGGAATTCATTTATTGTATATTATATTTATGATATAAAATAAATGAGAACTTGTATTGCATGAGTTCTCTCTGTCCCACAAACAACCCTCCTAAAGGAGAGGCGCATAGACATTGAGGGGATGAGGAGCAGATCCGACAGAAAAACCAAACTAAGTTGTTGTTCAGTCATGCACTTTCCCTGGGTCTTTCAGTATTTGTTCAATTTATACTACCGCTTTCCTCATTACAACCATTACTAGCTGTTACAGAATTGATTGAGGATAAATATCCTCCTCCTCCCCATCCATTTGACTTCCAGTTTATCAGACTCGACCACTTTGAAGGTATGACCCATTACATTATCATATGTAAAAATAATGTAATTTATTTTTGCTTTTGAGCCATTTTCAGTAAGGTTGAAATAACCAAGACATAATTAAATTATTTAATTTAATTTAACTAACAAATGAAACATGCTTTCAAGTAAATTTTAAAGCTTTATTAAAACATACCCTACTATTGAAATGGAATAGACTCTTGAAATGTTTTAACTGTGCTTCGTGAATTGGTTTATCGATTTGTTCGGTTGTCGAGTCGAGTTGGTGCAGATGCGAAAGGCAGGCCTGATGCTTGTTGATTTGGAAGATCATCTCGTTTCTACCTATAATTCGGAGTTTTACTAGGCCTAGGTAACTTAATCTACCGCAAGTTGGTAAGTAGTGTAATCAGACTAGAAATATGCTAGGACCCTGCAGTGCTAGTCATGTATTAGAACTAGTAGGAGAAATTTGATTTACTGATTGCTGCGCAACGAAACGGAGGACTTTTGTTGTATGATGATGAGCCTTGTATAGAAATTGATCTAACTCACCATCTTTTAATCGATTTTTGTTCTAATTTCTTTCACCTTTCTTATTCCGATACGTTAAATGTTCGTTGAATACTATGGTGGTATATTTATTATAAATAAAACTATTATACAAAAACAAATAATAATGAGCCTGGGATGACTGGTCACACTGGTGGTGGTGGTGGGGTTTTCTTTTTACGAAGTGATGACATTACATAGGCCTGTCAGGAAAAATTTGGTCCGGGGCCAAAATCGGTCCGCCGGACCGATTTTAGCTTTAAAATTACCTGCCAATTTAGTCCACTTATTTAAGCCAAAATCGGTCCGGCATCTATTTAGTAGTTTAGCCTGTATTTTTTTTAGCGTTGTTCATATTGGTTTTTAATCAAATGATAGATAAATACCTTATCTCTTTCTAGAGGGCCTGTTTCTACTGGAAAGAAATAATCGATTAAAAATCGCTTTTTCGAAAAAGGGTCATTCTTCGCTAACGTGCCATTTTAGAGGTTTAGAAATCATGAAAAAAAAAATTTCACATTTGTAATTCTTTTATTACACATGTCATCATTATGCCCATAACAACTATAATAAACATTCGGCACGATAATTAGGGCATTTTAAACGTTTATTTAAGCATTCAATTTTCAGTGCTGTAACATAGCAAATATTTTAAGAATCATCTCCATCACACTTTTTTGTGATGGAGATGATGATATACAACACATAGATGTGAATCTTAGTAAATTTGAAAGATAAATTGTATTATTTAAATATAGGATACTACACAGTGAACAAACAGGTTTCGAACAACGTAAGTCGTATTAATTACCATTTTTATTTTATAGCTGTTTTTGAGAAAAGAATACACCAAAAAATCATCTCCATCACACTTTTTGTGACGGAGATGATGATATACTCATAAATGTGAATCCTAGTAAATTTAAAAGATAGATTGTATTATTTTAAACATATAGGATAATAAACATTGAGCAAAAAGGTTTCTAACAACATAAACCAGATCAATTATCATTTTTATTTTATATTCGTTTTTGAGGAAAGAAAACATCAAGAAGTAATCTCCGTCACAATAAAATTGTGATGGAGATGACTGATGGAGATGAGGAATTAAACTTTTTAGGTCATATAATGCCATATGCAGTGTGTTACAGGGTGAATTCCATGTGCACTTTGAAAATGACACAGTTCTAAACGTATATATAATTATTTTTTTCTAAAAAAATAATAAATAAAGCATACTCTGAAGCGTTCAGAGATGATGCTGAATAAAGGTACTTTTCTAGTTGTATTAGAATTGCATGAATTCTTCAGCTATAGGTGGTTTAACTGTACAAGAATGGACTGTTTCTTACTGTATGGTCCCCTTCAACCAAAATGATTTGATCCATAACTTGTTATGTCATTTTGCTAACAGTATAATGGCATTTTAAAGTATTGTGATGGAGATGACGACAATTCAGGGACAAATTTTTTAGTCTAAAAAAGTCAAATTTTAAGTATTTATTGTTCTATTGATGTCATTTTTAATTTTACATTTGTAAGACATCTACTGCATTCACCTTTTTGTGGTATAGTTATTTATTTGAGTTATTTATTTTACAAATTATGACATTAGGAATTCTTAAGAAACCCAATCGGGACATGCATAGTGCGCGACTTTGGAGGCTTTTTGTTGAAATTAAACAGCATATTGATTACGTTTAAAATATTTAACAACTTATTCCATTAACAAATATGTTCAAGATTGCAGTAATGCAATAAAAATAAAATTTCCTTTAATATTTTAAAATTTATACTACATTAAAACAGAGGGACTGGAAAGTGGCACATTAGCGAAGAATGACCCAAAATCGCTTTTCTCGCAGTCCAGTAGAAACGGGACCAGTTTGAAAAAAGCGATTAAAAAAAATTGATTAAAAACACACAATGGATAGCGTGTTGGAACGGCAAATAACCGATTTTGGCTGTGCACCTTTTAGCTGCAACACAAAAAAAAGCGATTATCAGGTGAAATCTCTGGGGCTCCAGACTTTTGTCATGGTGATTTTGTTGCTTTTGGGGCCCCAAGACACTTGTCTGAATAAATAAATAAAAAAATAATAAATAAATAGAAATGTGACCTCCAGGTCAATCACTGCAAAGACTAGATAGTATTAGACGCGAACTTTAAAAAAAAATGTCCTCTTGTTCATGTCCTAGGCCTACAAGCTAAAAACGGCAACAAACATGTGGAGCGAAAAAATTTGTTTTGTAATTATTTTGTGAGGGGATATTGGGCCTAGGCCTCTCCGCTCTTTTGGGCCTACCGTTGTCCTCGTTTG